AAAGGGCCAGGCTATTTTGACCATCTCACATGGATTCTGCCTCCCCCCCCCCCCTCCATGATCTCAGCCATCGAGTGACGAAAAAATTATGAAACTCGGTACATGCATAGAACAACTTAACACGAATGTATCCAAGAAATTTCATGACTATAGGTCACAGGGTTTTGGAATTATTGCTAATTAATTATTCATATGCTCGAAAGGTAATTCTGCTATGTGTACACTACATGTGTGTATATTGGGAAATTCAGTTTTCATGGCGCATAGCGCCGAAATTTTTCACTGCCTGTGGTCCGCATTTTATCAAAAGATGCGCAAGATTAGAGGCTAAAAAGTCGGGACAGCTCGGGTCGCGAGCAAAAAAATAATGGGTGCGACAGCTTGAGGCTGACCATGCTCTGTCAGCCCCTGCCCTGTGGCTCATCTCGACTGATCGGTTGACGTGGATGGCTCATAGCTGGATTTGGAGACTGCTGATGATGATCGAATATTCCAAGCCAGAACTGAGCATCATGGTAACAAACATGACAGTGCAGCTGAGCCAACATCACTCAAACTAGTGCGCAGGCAAACTACTTGAATATTGAGTGAGAAATCCTCACGCTCGTATTTGGATTACCTGGTTCTACACCTACCTGTTCCAAAACAACTTCATCGTGTACACGGACCACAAGGCGTTAATTGGATTTGCAACAAGCCGATAGAAAGTGGTCCACCGCGCCTGCAATGACTCATTTTTTTCATATAAAAATTCAAACTTCTTAAAGTTTGAATTTTTTCAAACAAATGTTGCCAAAATTTTTGGCAATTTTTTTTTTTTTTTGGGGGGGGGACAGGGACAGGGACGGACTATTTTGACATTGGTGGCGCTATTTACAACCCTTTTATACCACTCAAAAACAGGCAACATACAGGTACATGTACATACTGCCACAGTCAAATCGTGGGACAAAAAAAAAAGATGAAACCCCCCCCCAAAAAAAATCTGCGGTGTCATATTCAAAGGCAGACAGGTCATCGTCAAACATGAGGCCATGCGCGACACATGCACATGTAGCAATAAAGTGTTTAGGGTTTCTTATAGTATTGTATAGGGGAAAAAAGGTTGAACAGGGTGTAAAAAAACAGTGAGTGTCAAAATTGTTCCAAGTGTTACTTCAAAAGAAGGGCTGCTTACTCAGACAATGTGCATGTCATGTCTAGCACGGGACATTTATAGTTATGAGGGATAATATTATGCATAGCTTTCATACTTATATCACATAATAATGTAAATTACATCTCTAAAAAGGGGAGATGAAGTAATATACAAATATAACATGGTTTGAGGGTGGACAGTCGATATTCGCTCCCCGAGGTGTTGGAAGTTGACAAAATAGTTCCCGAGGCGAAGCCGAGGGAACTAGTTTGTCAACTTCCAATACCGAGGGGAGCTAATATCGACTGTCCACCCGAAATAAACCATGTTGTATTTGTTTTACTATACCTCATGCATATTCAGTTGCCAATTTTTTTATGTCTAATCATGCACCTAAAACAAAATTTTCGGAGAAACTTGTATAGCTCACCAAAACAATATTGTTGCGTTAAGTTCACTAGTTCGATTCATTTGCAATACAGCAACTACAGTTGTAAATACAGTTGTTTGTGTACAACTTTCTCTTGAACAGGAGACGTCTTTAATGTCCCATAAATTTTGTTCAGTCCGGCAATTATATAATTTCATGAATTTACGCGAACCGTGCCACCAAGCATCTCTCTTTTCGACGATGTTCGCGTGTGCGTACTACACCCGTGCGACAGTTCCTTGATTGGTTTTAAAGCGCATGCGTAGTGACAGTCTACTGCGCATGCGTATTTAGCCTGTGCGTAAATCCTTGTGCGCGTTTGGTAAACGGCAAGAATAACATCTGGCACGTGATGGTGAATTGACCAGTGAAAGTTTGGCTCTCAGTCATGAATATGTATGAGGTATAGTAATGGTAACTATTTTATGGTAGCGTGTACGTATGCGCATGCACACTCCGGAATAATCCACTCATTCATAAACTCTGTCGGAAGCCAGAAGTCTCCTCTCCATTCTCCTTTATTTCGCCATCCATTATATCATTTTTTTTAGTGGTAATCCTACTACATTGTACATGTTAAAATGGCGCCATGTGCAAAGAGCAATATCTGCTATGATATACATGTAGGGAAAATTATTTATATCAGGATTCCAGTGGTAAAAATAAATTGGCATATCGTATGCTTATGTAACAAGTACCCAAATGACAGCAATATTATGTTACTAAAAGTATCCGGATGAGGACAATATTATTTTTGATATTGTCCTCATCCGATCATTTCAATAAATTTCCCTGGTTCCCACACAATCAAGAGCACAGAAAATCACAGTTGTCAACCAGTCAACAGAGTGTAGCACTCAGCAGCATCACACCTGGAAAGAGCACGCAGCAGGGTATACGCTCTCTGTTGTCCACAACCACAATGGCAGCTTCGAGAATCGCGACATTTACTTTGGTTGTAAATACACAAAGAATATTCAAGGGAATTTGAGAAATAAAGAAAAGTGTCCTGAAATTTATTTCTTGCTGATCAAGTCAGCCTGATAATAATATTGGATTTTATGTGTGGGATAAAAGAATATTTTGATCGATAAAACTTAATATGGCCACCTCAAAGGAACACATGATGATGTAGAATATTTGACTGATTTCATTTAATTTAATAAACACTGGCATTTAAGGCACATAGAAACATTCAAAAATACCCAGAAATATATCTTCTGATTTCATGAGAAAATCTTTGTTCCAAGTGAAGATAGGACTGGTACAAAATACACTGAAAATTCTGCCTTGAATGGTATCATTCAGAAGTAAACAATCATCGAAGGTGGTTTAAGAAAGTTTGCCCATTGGTGTCTGTGGTTCAACATGTGTTAGCAACCAGTTACTAGACCTCAAAAATTGTGCATACATTACATTGTTTTTTTTTTTTAATGTACCCGGTGTAGTATCTACTGAGCTGCAACTTGAACTATCCATTTGTTATGCACTCTTCTTAAATGTAGAGTGTCGAGTCTCTGACCACATTATTGTTAAAAGGCTTACTTGGTTTCAAGATAGTAATGACACTCAACTGCATGTGAAATTATTCCTTCTGGCATGATGTCATTTTGAAAAAGACAATGTATGTGTACAGAAATATGTCCCTTCTATCCAGCAGGGCTTTCCATAGCCAACAGCAACAGAACAGTGTGGACTGTATGAATATTTGACACACTGTGTTGAAAATGGACAAGTTCACCGACGTCTTTGTTATAAACACTGAATACTCTGTGTTGTCCTGAATGATTGTTAGAAAAAAATCGCAAACAACTTCGATAGGATTTGACCCCACAACCACCTGCTGGTATTTAGTCCGGGTGTCAAACCCCTATTTGGAGGAGGACCATGCATTAGGGTCTGCTCAAACTGTTTTTGTGTTTTCTTGTCATTTAGACCGTGTAGATCAACATTCCGATTGGTGCCCATGGGCAGTTTTTTTTTAAACAATTAATATGCAAATTAGCTACCACCATAATGTAAAATATAATTTTCTATAGGATTTCGTCCAACTTATCTCTGCAAGAATGTGTCTAATCGTATCAAACGAGGTGTTTAAACCCATATTCTTAAGGTTAACTTATTTATGGAAGCCATTTCTACACTGATGCTGTATGTATTTTATGCATACGCTGCTTTACCGAACATTTAGTATATCAAACATCACCCTTGGCTCCCAGTTTTTTGTATACAAAAGGTACCAAACCTCATTGATCAAAAAAGTCAACAGATTAAAAACTCTACCAGTTATACATGTATCAAACATTATTTAGCCAGTTTTAATTGGGGTCCGCTCATAAGTCTGATGCCTCTTAAGTCCGACAAAATCTCATCCCCCAACCAAATAAAGGTCCATAAGTCTGACGCCTCATAGGTCTGACACCCCATAGGTCCGACGTCCAATAGGTCCAATGCCTCATAGCTCTGACGCCTTGCAGGTCCGATGCCTCATTTGTCCGATGTCGGATTTACAAGGTGTCAGACTTAGGAGGCCTCAGAGCTATGACGCCTCATAGCTCATATACATAAGTCCGATGCCTCATACATCTGATGCCTCATAATTCTGAAATTTCCGACTTACGAGGTATCGGACTTACGATATGGCCCCTTTTAATTATTAAATTAAAACCCGAATGTGAAACCACCAAAGATGGAATTTGCGTCAGGGTTATGTACATTTAATATTAGGTTTTGCCCTTCATATAAACACTGTATACTCAGTGTGTAACCTCCCCAGTGAAAGTTGGATCGGTTGGCTGGTTCGATTCTGATGTAGCAGCGGTTACCGTAATGAAACTTTTCATAAGATGGAATTTTCATCAAAACTGTGAAAAAGGGGAATTAAATAAACCTACTTCAAGCAGGGAAAAAGAGGGAGCTACTTAAACAAACAGTATTTAAACAATACCGGCGGCTCAAACTAGCTATACCGAATGATTGCTATCACAAACAATTTCTGTGGATCCCGTGGTATTCGTTATAGCAGTGTTCCACTGTATTATGCAAATTAGCACTGCTATTTATCAGAAAAAGTTATACCATATATCTATTTTCTCTGAAGGAATTTGTCCAATCAAATCCAACGAGGTGTAGAACTGTTTTGAGGGTCTATTTTATGCTAATTTGCATATTAATTGGGTTGTTTTTTTAAATAATGCACAAGTGTGCCATGGTAGGCACCTGTCAGAATATTGATAGATGGTCAGAATGACAAGAACATGCAAAAACATTCTATTCAGACCCAAATTGGGGCTTCCGTGGTCAATCCCTGGACTAACTGCAGACATCTAACCACTCGACCAGAGAGTTTGCCAGTAGCATGTAACTGGAAGAATTGAACAATCAAGAGCATTTAAATCATATCACAGCATTTGCAAATGTATTTCGCATGGGAATAATAATTAACTTTTTACCTGGGAAAGAGTCTCTGAAGTGTACATGCACATATGGAATATTTGGGTTCATATTCTATAACAATCAACTATTGAGCAAGAAAAGAGTACTAGTTACAATGATTGATAGAAGACAATGCCAAAACATATGTGTATACTTTCTATGTTGTTGCTGTTTGACTTTACACTGCACTTTGCACCTACAACTATATGTATATCACAAGGCATGGAATATGCATTTGGCGATTCCATAACTTGCATTAGGCCACAAAAAAAGTCTTTGGTTTTTGGTATCGAGCTTGCCCCAAAAGAGGTGTGGCGTGACGCAGCTTGTTTTTTTTTCCTATTCTTTTTCTTCAATGATGTTGCAGATGACGCTTCGATCCCCTTAAAACTCTCAAAAATATCCTTCAGGGTGAAGTTTGAGGTGACCTCAGTAAGACCATAAGGCTTGAGAATTCTGCACCCACTTACGATCTCGACCAACACGACGATTCTTCGGATAATTTAGATAGTCAAGACAAAAATCAGAGAAAACAGTAACTTCAGACCGACATTGACACCGTGCATGTGCTGCCAGGCTTGTCATTAGTCTGCTCCCTAATATATATAGCTCTTATTAAAAAGCGTTTACAGGTTCAAAATACACGACCTTCGCTTCCTCAGTCTTGCTTCCGGAAGCACAATTACAAACGTACAACACTGTCTGCAAATGACGCCTGACTGAATCTAATGCAAAATATATGGGAGCCCAGAGAGGCCACATAAAACTTATACTCGATCGTAACCCCATCTAAAAATGCATTAAAACTGCAGCAGCTGGATTTCAGTCACACCAGTGAGTTTGGCAGTTTTAAGACATCTTACATTGTAAAAAAACTTTTTTTAATTTTACCGACGCGCATGGCTATGGCGCACAGGCGCGCAGACCAGAAACCGGAGCCTTTTTTAGCCTTACACTTCTTTGCATCATTTTACATTCTGAGTGCTTTGCCCTGGGTTTTCTTTTTAGCATAAACGTACCCAATATTCAAGGCGTTTTAGCCCAAAACTCAGTTATTTGGACAAAAATACAATTATCCAAATGACATCTCACTGGCATATTATCCAAGTAAAAAAGTTTCAGCATGGAAGGAGCACTAGGACGAATCATTGGCAAGTCCAAACAATTTGATGGTTCCAGCATCTCTGTCTCTGTTGTACTTATCTTTATCATCGCACGCAAATGCCAGCAGATGCCTCTTGGGATGCCATGCTACTGTGAATGTTGGACTTTCACACTGAACTTCAGTTATCTTCTCACCTTTAAAATAATATAACACAAAATGTCAAAACAATACAAAATTAAACAAAATACAAGTCCATGATACATGAGCTTGTTTATAGTCCATTTTGCTAAACAAACAAGTTGGACAGCCTATTTACACAAACACGCTTGCTTAACAAAATCATTTGTTTACAAGTTGGATGAAAACAGTTCATTAAACAATATTACCAAGACAAAGGGGGAATAACTAACTGAAGTAAAAATGATGTATGTTAGGCCAAGCAAAAAAACAAAAAAGCAAAAACAAACTAGAGGTTCGCGTTTGTTGTTACAAACGCAGAGTGGTCGGGTAGACAACCATTTCATTAGACATTGTGCAGTCAAGTTATGAATATGTTTATGTCAGAAAAAAATGGACCAAGAACTTCAACATTTCCAGTACCAATTATTTTGTACAAAAAGAATGCGTCTTTTAAGGTATGATAAATTTCAGTAAACAGTTGGGTACACGTACAAGTTATTTCCGGTTTGATGGCGTCATCAGTCAAAAAAGGGAAGGGAGGACACTTGTTTATCATTAAGTAAAAATAACGCATGGAAATATGGAAATTAAGTGTATCTAATAAAAACAGCTAAAGTAAAGGTCAAGCAAGTTCACGTACAGGACAAAAAATGTTTATCAATTTATGGTCTATCTGCTTACAAGGTTGGAGCATAATTGATCAGTTTGTTGAAGAGTTATAGATGAAAGGAGATCGTCATTTTTTCAACGAAAATCGCTTGTAATTTGACACCCGATGACGTCATAATGACCTCAGTGTAACATGCACCACTCGGAATGAGGGTCAATATATGTTAAAAGTTACAAGTTCATATCATATACCGTTTAGGAGAAAACCCGCGGAAACGTGCTATGCAGAAATAAAAAGAAAGAAAGAAAGAACTAGAGCTTCGCGTTTGTTGTTACAAACGCAGAGTGGTCGGGTAGACAACTATTTTATGAAACACTTTCCAGTTAAGTTATGAATATTTTTTTATGTAAAAACATGTACAAAGGATAACGAAATTTAAACTGTCTGATAAAATTAATCATTTTGTTTAAAATGTTTCTTTTAGGTAGTGATCAATGTCAGTATGTGTTTATTTTTTTTAAACGTAGAAAAAGTGAATATGGGCAGTGAATACTTATGTTATTCGGAGAGGATGCATGTTCTTTGATTTGCATGTATTCATGTGTCCGATCATAACTGGAGCCATTTTAAATGGTAAGCTGTTTTCAGCATGAACTCCCAATACCATTTGCGTGAAAAAAAACCCCAAAATAATATTTACTATCCGAAGGTAAATTTATAAACAGAAACAAACATTTATATTCGCCAAATCTCAGCTCAGAGTTCGTACGAGGATGCCTTTCCATGCCGCACCACGAACAGCGTAAGTGCACACATTCTACTTTCCGAATCACAGTGTGCATGCAGTGTACAAGCTTAACCCCGGTTATGACACATTAACTGCGCATGCGCACTTTTCTGTCTTGCCTTTTTTTCAAGACGAAGACGCGCGCAGCGATCTATTTTAGTCGTACACGCGTGACAACAGCACTTCTCCTCAGACTTTCTCAGAGTCTACGTACTAATAACTGGACATGTACATGTACGCCCGCGAAAAGCAAACGAAAAGCCAGGCTACGTTCAGCGGGCGCGCGCGCCCTGTGCCGTGGCAGGGCGGCGACGCGCTATGCTTTCATTGAATTTTGAGCGACGGACTACTATAAGGGTATTTTTGTCGGCGGCGGGTCACGTGTGTGAACAATTAGACAAGCCACGAACCTGGCACAATTGACGCCAATGTTTAAGCTATCATTCAATGAGCAATTCACGATTATATCTCTCAGGATTGATTTATTTTTGAAGAATAGAAGGTCTTTTTGTTGTAACTTCCGGTCTGATGACGTCATCAACTTCAAACTTCACACATGTGTTGTTTGCATGAAGGTCATTATATATACTACTTTTCAGGTGATTACAAAACACTTCGCTACAGACATCTATTCAAAATGCATTTTGGACATTCTTAAACCTGCCGCTAGAGGGCGGTCGAGAATTTCATGACGTCACCGGTACAAGTTTTGAAGAATATTGTCTGGCCAGAGACTAACACCGTTGAAAGCAAGTTCATAACTATTACCAATTTTAAATAATAAGCCATTAATAAGTCACTTCCGGTTTCGACCAGAAGCAAGGGTCATGTGATTTTACGTACACGTTAAAAAATAAAGACCTTAATTTACTCTATCACTTGCCGCAAACAACAAGACGACAGATCTCATTATTGATTTTATAAAGATTTTTAAAGATAACAAAATATCAAAGTTTAATTGCTTGTCACATGACACCTGATGACGTCATCATGCCATCATTGTTCTGGCACAATCTTAGCATTCCGTCTTTGCTTGGTGTTACTTTGATGAAGATGCCCCATTGAAAAGTGGCCAAAAAGGTCCCTTGAAAAAGAAGGGCACAAAGTGGAAAAACTGTGTACAAAGTCAATGGGCTTAAATAAATATTCAAAATTTCATAATAAATCACATGATGACATCATCATTGCGTCCATCTTCGCCAACGACCTTTGCTATATGTTCTTTGACTATGTTAAGTTTCAATGTCATAATGAGTGTGCTTTATGACTCAAATGCTGACGAGAAAAATCGTGCACAAAGTCTATGGGATTTGTTATAGAAGGGCAACCGTCTTGAGCACAAGACTACGCGCCACGTGTTTGGCCCCATTCCAACAAGCATGACGATGTTGAAATAATGGATCTGCACTGAATGCATGTACATGTACATGTACAATGTCCTGTACATGCAGTGTACTCACGCACACCCAGCTCTACGCTTTCATTGAATTTTTGAGCGACGGACTACCGTTAGGGTATTTTTGTCAGCGGCGGGTCACGTGTGTGAACAATTTGACAAGCCATGCACCTGGCACAATTGACGCCAATGTTTAATCTATCATTTAATGGACAATTTAAGATTATGTCTCTCACGATTGATTTTTTAGTGATTTTTGAAGAATAAAAAGTCTTTTCGTTGTAACTTCCGGTCTGATGACGTCATCGGCTTCAAACTTCAGACATGTGTTGTTTGCATGAAGGTCATCATATATACCAATTTTCAAAAGATTACAGCAAACTTCGCCACAGACATCTATTCAAAATGCATTTTGGACATTTTCCAACCTGCCGCTAGAGGGCGCTCTAATATTTCATGATGTCATCGGTTTCAGTTTCAAAAAGTACTTTCTTGCCAAAGACTAACATCATTGAAAGCACGTTCATATCTTTTACCATTTTTAAATTACAAGGCACTTCTGGGTTCGACCGGTTTCGACCGGAAGTAAGGGTCATATGATTTGACACCCATGAAGTAAATTGAAGACCCAGTATTATTCTATTGACTGCCGTTAAAAACAAGTTCCGGTCTCTCACGGTTGATTTTATATCGATTTGTAATGATTAAAAATTAGAAACACTAAATTGCTTGTAATTTGATACCTGATGACGTCATCATGACAATATGCACTACTCGGGATCAGGGTCGATATGTGTTCGAAGTTACAAGTTTATATCTTGAACGGTTTAGGAGTAAACCCGCGAAGAAGTATTGTCCGGAAAAAAGAAGAAAAAAAAAGAAAGAAAGAAAGATTAATCGGAACAATTCTAGACAGTGGTCGGGTTGTGCCCGACCACTCAAAGATTAATCGCAACAAATCCAAAGAGTGGTCGGGTTGTGCCCGACCACTCAAAAACAAAACACAAAAAAAAAAACATGTTTAGCATCTGGGTTTTTCAAAAAAAAGGAAGGAGGGCTTTGTATTTTCAAGATGGCCAACATTCCTTTTAGTCTTTCCGACAACTGATGGTTTTTCCACTGTTCAAAGACACACAAATGAAAGCAGACAAAATCAAACATATATACAATGTTTTAATAGTTTTGTTGATTTGGTTTGTAACATGGTTTTACAAGAATTTAAAAATACTGCAAGTGATACTTGTGCGACCCCCCTAGCATGCTGGCAGTTTTTATACAGTCAGTTAGTATGGATACTTCTCAGTGTCCCTAACCAGAATGGAAGATTTCTATTGTTTTAGCAAAAGTGACCTTGACAAATGTTTTAGGGTTGCATTTTCTGGGTATAAACTTGTATAAATTTATGTCAATTCTTAAAAAAAACAAGTCAGGTGTGTTTACAAACACAAATGCCCCGCAACCGTAACAGTTCCCATGACATAACACCACTCTTTTAACATCAACTTACATATGTACATGTGTACCTTGGTCACATGGAACGTTCATTGACAGCATTAGTGTTTTCTGTAGGTTTTATATGAATTAATCCCTATGATCTCAGAATAAATACAAGATTTCTATTGTTTTAGCCACTGTGACCTTGACCCTTGACCTTTCAACTCCCAATGCAATAGGCTTCTTCAGATTACCAAGAACAATCCACAAACCAAATTTGAAGTTCACATGTAAAGTATTTCTCAAGTTATCGCGCTGACAAAATTTCTTTTGCTTTAGCCACTGTGACATTAACCCTTGACCTTTCGGCCCCAAATGCAATAGGCTTCTTAGGATTGCCAAGGACAATCCACAAACCAAATTTGAAGTTCACATGTAAAGTATTTCTTAAGTAATCACGCTGACAAAATTTCTATTGTTTTAGCCACTGTGACCTTGACCCTCGACATTTCGGCCCCAAATGCAATAGGCTTCTTAGGATTACCAAGAATACACAAACCAAATTTGAAGTTCATATGTTAAGTATTTCTCAAGTTATCGCGCTGACAAGATTTATCCGGACACACCCACCCACCCACGTGTGTAAATGCCGGCAATCGTGGACGCCCCAATGTCCCTAATCCTCTTTCCTTTGTTTGTACTCTAACTTTTTAGCGACAGCTCTCATTGGTTTTGTACATGATTTGAGATCGTGGACGTTCGGTCAATCGTGGACGTATTGTTTGCG